ATCATGCTCTTCATTATTTCTGCCAGTAATAGCCACGTCATCCAAAAGACATGCTACCCCATCCATCCCCCTGCCAGTGCTGTAGACATTACACGTTGGAAAATACCAGGAGCTGCATTTACTCCAAAAAGCGAGACGGTTCATTTTCATTAATCCTAATGGAGTATTGAGTGTCAAAAGCATAGCAGTGTCCTCATCCACTTTCAGCTGCATGTACGCTTGTTTCAAATCAATTTTACTAAACACCCTTCCTCCACTTAATTTCACAAATGATTCACAAGCAGCTGGCAATGGGAAGGTATCAGTCTCAATTGCTAGATTAACAGTTGACCTGTAGTCACCACATATGCGCAGGGTCTGTCCAGCATATACCAGCTAGCTCAAGGCCCAATATACAAACCAATTTCTTCCTAAAAGGCTAGGCCCAAAACCAGAAACCACTAACAGCTCACATTGAGCTTCTTTGTTTCCTAATGACACTCGAACATGAGCTTGACCTAAAACCTTTAGTTCTTCACGGGTCCACGTCACCAATTTCACGCGTGTCTTCTCTAAGGGTGGTGGAACAGCCCACAGCTTTTTGTATGTCTCTTCAGCCATGATAGTCCTTGCAGCACCCGAGTCCACTTCCATAGTAACCTTCACACTGTTGATAATTACTTCTGCTTTCAATGGTGATCGGCAATTATCTGAACAAACAAATGTGCTCATCATGTAATCAGGTTTTTCATCTCCAGAATTGGAAGTCAGACTTTCCTCCACCCGGTGCACTCTGTTAGGTCTCTTTCATACAAGCAGCAGCAATATGTCCAATTTTTTTGCAATAAAAACATTTGGCTTTTATAAAAGGACATCTATCACCACTGTTGTGTGACCGTGCACAATGACGACACTTGATCAATTTAATTAGACCAATATCCATCTGTTCCGTGATTGTGGACGGAGTTTGTTTTAACAACCCTGTATCTGGGTACAAATCCAAGAATGTGCCTTGATAGTTTAGGCTCAATTGCACCGCCAACTCATACGTAAGATTTTTCGTCCTTAACAACTCGCATCGGAGCCGCTCGTCGCGCACACCTAACACTAACCGATCTCTTAGCTGTCTTTTTAAGTCTATAAAATTGCATCTAGAAGCCAGCGAGCCGATAGCTGCAATATATTCCTGAATATTTTCACTTTGACTTTGTTGACGTTTATGAAATTTATCAGATTGTAAGATTTCATTCACTTGAGGTTCATAGAATTGGTCAAGCACTGCCAAAATGTCATTTAATGCCACTGTAGTAGGTCTTCTAGGCACTAATAATGAAACAATTAATGAAAAAGTCTCCTTTCCACACTGTGATAAAAACAACGCACGTGCTTTGTTTACGTCGTCACCATTTACATTCGTTGCCTCTAAAGCACACAAAAAACGTTCTTTATATTCACTCCAATTATCAGTCCGTGGATCAAACTGTCCGGGAAACGCAACATTAGAGAAATTGCACGCCATTTTACACAATAAATTAATTAATTTTCCTCGTCGCCATTAAAAGATACAAACATCAGACAAGGTTGCAAACAAACTCATTTATTTATTAAACTACCTCCGCTTAACAATTATTATACCCTCTACATAATCAATATACAACAATATGGATCATAATAAATAAATCTCAATGAAATATATTTAATCGGCATAATCTAACTTGCACACTTATTATTGAGCCATTTTTTTAAAAAAAACAGCGCTTTGTAAAACGTTCCACACTTGCATGAAAAATTTGTCAACGCAAATACGTGCAATACTTGAAGCAACACGCCAATAAATTGTACACGCACATACAAGCATGTGTTTAGACAAGTCAAAACTTGAAAGCAATAGTCGCCTAAACATAATTGCATTGGTGTAAACAAAAGAAATTTGCAATTATTTCTTGTCAAGACTTGCATTCAATAATCGCATTAAATTTTTTTTACTATATCTGCGTGTAAACTGTTGCTTACAATTCTTGATGGTCAATTATTGCGTGCAACTTATTGCATTCAATTATTGCTCTTGTATGTACAAGAAAATGGCATCGTGTAAATGGGCCTTAACTTATCAAAAAGTTAAACAAATTTTGCTTAACCAATTTTAAATTCAAAGTTTTTAATCTATTTGGTAATTTATTATATATCCTAATGGCCATACAATAACAGTTTTGCTGAACATTGTGGTACGATGGGGAGGCATGTGTAGTTAGAGAATCTACTACTTCGATTTTTTATTTCTAAATGACCTACTTTTAAAGAGAGCCGGATGTTTATGAGCAAATTTCGTAAATGTATAAACAAGGTAGCGGTAGAATATGGTGTTTATTTTATAGTGGTACACAACTGTCCAGGTATTCTGTGCCACATAGATCTGAAAGATTTTTTTTGCGCTCTGATTAAATAGACCAAATTACCCCTTATACTACCATATAATTAATTATTCCATAACACAAAATGGAGGAAACATATGCATGATAGGCACAAAGAGCAAAGCTTGGTGAGGATTTGTTTTAATCAGTTTAACATGTCAAATAAAGAAAACTCTTTCTAATACTGTAAGTAGTATATTCTTACACATTTATATTCTTAACCATAAAAAAAAAATAATTTTAAAACCTACATTTATATTCTCTGTGTGGAAGATGTTGGGTAGTAAGTCCCATTGACCACTGCTACTAAGAAAAATCTATTGTAGCCTTCCATGCAAAACCATTGCCCTTTAGAGTCCGGTAACATCATCCTGTGCTGAAAGGATGTTTTACATACATAAATTTCACATGGACAAACACCCAGATCCAAAACAATTATATGTGGGTCCCAAAATATTTGTATTATGTGGGAATCAAACCCACAAGCCCCAGTGCCAAATCCAATACTTTGGCAACTGCACCATGGAGTCATCATATATTGACAATACTTTATTCAATGATGAATAACCCTCTTCATTCCTGGTTATAAATTTAAGAGTATATAAAACACCATAAATTTCCAAAGCAATATTAGACCTTAACCTCCTAAAATAACCGAGTTATATTGAATCTATTAGTACAATGTATATTTAAGTAATATGGCATAAGTTTTTGATATTTCATTAGCTTTTAAATTAAGTGTTATGGCATAATCGAACACTAAATTGCCACATGTACATTTCATATTGAGATTATCATTAAATTAACATAAATTTTTATCATTGAGATATATGCAGGATTTATGAATGTGAAAAATACTGTAATATGAAAAAAATAATTAGTTACACTCTAGACAAACATAAAGTCTGCATACAACTCACTTAACATCAAGTTTCAAACTAACCTCACAAACAGGCTGTTAGAGGGCACTCGACGCGTGTGTTAAATCAGGCAGGCATCAACTGTCCTGTGGAAGACCACCAAATCAGACCTCTTGGCGACACCATTACAGAATCCCACATTAGTGAATAATAATTAATCGCGTACAGTTAACACAGTCAAGGATACTATACTTGGAAATCAGCCAAAAATGTATTGCAACAAAAGCATGCTAAATTGAAAATCATCTAGGCAAATGTCGTGTTAGTAATGGAAATAAAACGTACATATGTAAACAGTTATATTCCATGGCAACAAGACTAGGCACTATATTATTAGTAATGAACAAATGTTTCACTATATGAAAATAAAAAATGTTAAGACACGTAAAAACAGCATTAGATATTCCATAATGATGATAAGACACTTACAAAACTTCTTCCTCTGAGGGGCATTTCACTTAAAGGCACAAAATTTCCACAGTTTACACACCTAAAAAGAAGATTTAATTTGGAGAAAAAAATCACTTGTCACTCCACTACCACAATTTGCAAACAAATTATTTGAAATTGATAGCTAGTACACAGCAGTCAGCAGATTAGAAGATTGACAGTACAGTTCGCTATTCTAGAACAATCACATCGATTTTTCGTTACACGCATATCTTTCAAAAGGGAATTTGGATGAATTTTAATTTTAATAAAAAAAAATTATATTTATATAGAAGACATATAGTATAAATTTAGATTATTCATTTCAATGAATAACCTAGCAAATATGGAGAAAAGAATGTCTGGTAAGGAACTAATTAACCTGTAGACATTAAAATTATTAAAAGTTAGGTCTAATAAATATATAAAGTGTGGTACACTTTGTGAACCTGTTGGCTTTGGTGCCTTCGTTGGAAGAAATCTGCGAGGAGATGACCCAGAGATTTAGGAGATAACAACGAAACTGGTGCATATCACTTCATATCCTGTGGTGCATATCCTTTATTAGGATAATGCCTTTAACCGCCAAGACCCTTCATGTTTCCTTGAACAAATCCTAAACAGGGCTTTCAAATTATGCCTTCTTGGAGTTGGAGTTGGCCCATACAAATATTATTTCTTCCAGATAAAATATGAATACTTACTAATATTATAAACGCGAAAGTTTCTATGTGTGAATGGATGTTTGTTACTCTTGCACGCAAATACTACTGAATGGATTTTATTGAAACTTTACACTAAAATAGCTTGTTGCGGACCTCTTTGCTATTTTGATAGCTGATGTAGTTTTTTACTTTTTTGCTTTTGACGTTGTCTGTTCTACTACCTATTTCTTTCTGTTTGCTTGATTTTTCTGTTTTTATTAAAAAATAATCATTCTTCAACTTGTATCATCGTTTTATCATTTGCAGAGATTAATTTGGTTTGTTCATTTCATTTTGGTCCTTCTCCAGTAATTTTCCAGCGTACCTATTTTTATTACGTAGCTTTAGTTATTCATTCATTTCGTAGTATTTGTTTTCATTTTCACTGCTTTATTTTATTTTTATTTCTCACTTAATGATCACTCGCAGTAAAAGTAAAATCATGCCGACAAACCCTGCGACTAGTACTAGTGTGCAAGATAATATTATGCAACCTAGTACTTCCCAACATGTAGACAGCGTTGCCCCCGAGTGAGACGTCTAAGTCAAAATCATCACGCTCGTCGTCCACAATTAAGGCTCAAAAGGCCGCCGTAGAGGCCCTCGCCCTGCGCCGACGTCTTGAACACGAGCAGGAGCTCGCTGAAAGTGAGAGGCAACGTGAACAACAGCTGGCCGAACGCGAGAGGCAACGTGAAAGTCGACTGGCAGCACTCCGTCAGCAGGTAGAGGATGGCGAACTGCAGGCCGAACTTGCCGCTCTCGACGCGGAAGCCGCGGCAAGTCGCAGCAGTCGCAGTGGTTCTGCCAGGGTAAGCGTAGAAAGAACAGAAAGATGGGTACAAAGTTTAGGACAGCCAGTTTACGTTGGCGAAAATACAGTTAATAGCATCCCCGCAGTAGGGCGCGAACAAATAATGGTTCCGCCTCCCGGCCACCAGGCACCTCTGCCGGCCACTGGGTCAACTGCATCCCCTATTAACCGTTTTGTTCATCAGAAGCAATTTTTAAACGTCACTAAAGCGTCCGAGGCGGCCGTGCCTACTCGACCGCTCATTCCCACGGAGCTTGATCAGAGTAGTCTGTTTCAGGCTGTTGCTGACACTGCAGCTGCGGCCAAGGCGCTTGCTACTTCGCACCGTCATAAACATAAGATCGAATTGTTTCCTTTCGACGGAGACGCCTTAACATGGCTACATTTTAAACGTATTTTTGATTTAACCAAAAGCAATTTTTCAGATATTGAAAATATTAGTCGGTTACAAAATGCACTTCGCGGCGCGGCCCGAGATGCAGTCGCGTCACTGTTGCTGGCTACAGAGGACCCGAACGATATTATAAGAGCTCTGGAGGAGAACTTCGCTCGCCCGGAAATTATAGTATTTAAGGAAGTCTCCGCTCTAAAAAATCTACCACGGTTGGGAAACGAATAAAGTACGTAATTCTATATCTTCTTTTAAAATACTGAAACAAGTTGAGTACTTGCACTCTCCAGAACTATTTCACGCCGTCTTAGGAAAATTAAACCCGGTTACTAAAGTAAGATGGACGGACTTTGCTATGCAAGATACTACAGGGCGTCCTAAATTAGAGATTATGTCCGATTTTTTGAGGCGCGAGTTAGATCAACTTATTTGGTTCGGTTTATCACCGGAATCTTGCTCGATCCAACATTCACCACAAAACTCTCAACTAAACAAACCGTATAAACGGGAAAATATTCACGTAGTTACACACTCCAAACCAAATTCTAAGGTGGTGTCTAAACAAAAGCCTGAATGTGCGTTTTGCAAAAAAGATCACAATATTAAGTCATGTTCTGAGTTCAAAGCCTTATCTGTTGATGAAAGGTGGGTCTGGCTGCGTGAGGTCAAAGCGTGTTATAGATGTCTTAAGCGTAGTTCACATCAGTGGAAAACATGCAAAGTTAACCCTTGTGGTGTCGATGGGTGTCCAATACGTCATCACCCGTTACTGCATGGTAAACAACCCGCCTCGTCTGTCAAACCTACGTTCGACACGCAATCCACTGAAAATAATCATGCGACTACGCATCACGAACCTGCATCTGTCGAAAAGGTAATAGTTTCTACCACTTCTACAGGTGTTCAAGAACCCAGCTCCATCTTAACTCTGTGCCCACGTGTATTTCTAAAAATCTTACCCGTTACTGTCTCGGGTCCCTCAGTTGCAATGTTTACGCACTTCACGATTACGGTAGCACTGCTACGCTCATTGACTCAAGTATTGCTGCTCAAATCGGTGCGACAGGGCCTCACCAGAAAATAACGGTCAACGGTATAGGCGGTCTTAGTAGAAACACTACAATATCGTATGTAGATTTTTACATTAAGGGAAGGCAAACACGAGACACATTTTTAGTGAAAAATGCGAGAACTATGGAGTCTTTGTCTCTGCGTCCTCAAACTAGTAGGAAGGAAACGATTGCTTCTTACGCACATTTAGCGGATTTACCTTGCAACGTAACTTACGAAGATGCTACTCCAACAGTTTTAATTGGGGCAGAGCATTGGCATTTGTCAATCAGCAGCGTGGTAAGGTGTGGTGGTAAGAATGAACCCGTTGCTTGTTTAACTGCCTTAGGCTGGGTGCTTTATGGAATCGCGACCAGTAAAAGTAAATTAGTGGAGTTTGTTAATCACAGTGTGTGTATCGAACCTTCTGATGAGGAGAAATTGGACTCTCTTATTAGGGAACAATACAACATTGACTCGTTAGGTATTTCTAAAAAAGACACTCTGCATTCGAAGTCAGATAAACGTGCAGTCGAGATTTTAGAAAAAACTACTAGACGTCTTCCCACTTCTGGTCGGTTTGAGGTTGGTATGCCGTGGCGTGACGATATACAGCGCATTCCCGATAGCTATCCTCAAGCCATGTCACGATTTTTAAGTCTAGAGAGGCGCATGGCTAAAGACGCTGACTTTGCCAAAGCATATGACGTGTTCATTTCAAACATGATCGCTAAAGGTTATGCAGAAGAATGTGCTCCTGAGTCATACTACGCCAACCACATTAAAGATAAACAATCTTCTTTTATGAGGCTCTATTTACCCCATTTTGGCGTGTACCACCCTCAGAAATGTAAGCTTCGTGTAGTTCACGACGCCGCAGCCACGAATGAGGGCGTCAGCCTAAACTCTTTGTTGCTACCTGGTCCAGACCTACTTCAGCCCTTGTTAGGTATTTTATTTCGGTTTCGCGAGGGCCGTATCGCTCTCACTGCTGATATCCGCAAATAAGGATCAGGGAGCAAGATCGGGACGCCCTCCGGTATATCTGGAGGTCAAGCAGAAACCAACCAAACAACAGACTTTAATGTTGCCGATGACGCTACCAGAATGCGATCAATTAACCTTGACGCGTCCCACAGATGGTTTCGCGGTCCATCTTTTCTTTTTAAATTCATTGAGGACTGGCCTATAGAGCCAAGGTATGCCTCACCAAACATCGATGAACTTAAGACAATAGTTATGAGTTGGTCGGACTAACTTCCTTTGTCGAAGAGTTACCGACTCCGGTCACAGGCATTTTTGCTAATTTTACTAATTGACAGCGCTTATTACGTGCCACAGCCCGGGTACTTCAAGCTGCGGCAAAGTTTGGTGTAATTTTGGCTTCCATTAGAAATTCTAAATTGAAAGGCAAAGTTGTTTGTGCCCGCCATCCTTCAGCGTCCACTACTCTACCACCCCTTAGTGCGGATTTAATAAAGGCCGCTGAAAGGCAAATTCTGCAACGAACACAGATCGAGAGCTTTTCCATAGAATTTCTTCATATCCTGAACTCGAAGCCTATTCCTCCGAACAGTCGTCTCAGAAAACTGTCACCCGCTTTGGGAGAGGACAAATTACTGCGGTTAGCCGGAAGAATTAAAGCCGCAGAAGGCATTGACCCAGACACACGCTTCCCCATCCTCCTTGACGGTCGTCACCCAGTTGTACGTTTATTGGTACAATTTATCATCGAAAAGCGGGTCACGCAAATTATGAACAAGTCGTGAACGAATTAAGACAAAAATTCTGGTTATTAAGGCTGAGGAACACAGTGCGAACAGTAGCAAAACAGTGTCTACTCTGCAGAATTAGAAAGTCCTTGCCGGTGAACCCGAAAATAGGAGATCTGCCACCTGAAAGATTGGCTCACCATCGACGGCCCTTTACTTTTACGGGCCTGGACTACTTCGGCCCCGTAATCGTCACTATCGGGCGCAGGCGTGAAAAACGTTATGTGGCCCTTTTCATCTGTTTAACTGTCAGAGCCCTTCACCTAGAGATGGTACATAATCTATCGACTGACTCTGCTATCATGGCTATTAGAAGATTTATTGCAAGACGGGGCTCTCCAAACACTATTTTCTCGGACAACGGAACCTGCTTTGTTGGTACCAATCGTATTCTCAGAGAGTTCTACGGAGAAAATGTCGAAGATTTTACAAGCACTCAAGGAATACTCTGGAAATTCACCCCACCTGCGGCACCTAATTTTGGAGGAAGTTGGGAGCGCTTGGTGCGATCAGTAAAGGTGGCTCTCAACGCGACATTAACCGAACGAGCTCCAAAAGAAGAAACCCTGAGCGTTTTACTAGCCGAGGCAGAAGCCATTGTCAATTCACGTCCATTAACTCATGTATCTACAGATCCTGACGACCCGACAACACTCACACCATTTCATTTCTTAATCGGTTCATCGTCCGCGCAGACCCTACCTACTACCGTCGCGTTGGATGCGCGAGGTTCTCCCAACCCTACAACCACGTGAGCAGTCAAGAGGCAACCGCAGTTCAACAGCTCTTCAAGAGGGTGACGTAGTAATTATTGCTGACTTCAACTTGCCCCGCGGAACATGGCCACGAGGACGTGTTGCGAAGTTGTACCCTGGAAAAGATGGCGTGATAAGGGTAGTGGACGTTGAAACAGCAGGGGGAATGCTACGCCGACCCGTGCGAAAGCTGGTTAGACTCTCCACCTAAGGCCTTGACTGACCTTGGTTTGCATAACCAGTTTGTGCTTGGCTGCACGAGGGGGAGGATGTTGCGGACCTCTTTGCTATTTTGATAGCTGATGTAGTTTTTTACTTTTTTGCTTTTGACGTTGTCTGTTCTACTACCTATTTCTTTCTGTTTGCTTGATTTTTCTGTTTTTATTAAAAAATAATCATTCTTCAACTTGTATCATCGTTTTATCATTTGCAGAGATTAATTTGGTTTGTTCATTTCATAGCTTATACATCAGAATAACACATAGGCTATAATTTATATACATATTTTTATGTATATCTGTCTTTCTGTCTGAATGTTACGCCTTCAGCCTATTCTACGCAGACATAGTCGCGGGCAGCAGCTAGTAACTAAATAAATATAGTCTGAACTGGTAATTTACAATTTATAAATAAAATTGTTACTACTGCTAATCAGGGGCGTAATAATCATCGCCGTATCAGCGGTAAGGGCCCCGGGCTATAGAGGCCCCGAATGGATGAAATCCAAAATTTTACAATCATACTAAATCTCCTAGATCATACTTTTCGGAAAAAAATCAAACAATATTATACACGAGGCTGCGCAACAGTAATGGCATGAAAATCAACAGTAAAATTACTTTCTGGCGAGATTTAGTACAATTAATATTAAATTTATATGATAAAACCTCTTTATTTTTCATCTTGGCCTCCCGACACATTTTGATACAGGGCCAGTCTAAGGCAGGCTACGCCACTGCTGCTAATATTTCTTATGTCTATACAGTTTTAGTTTCCACGGCCCTTTGCTAAAGGATATCTCATCAATAGAGATAATAAAAATAGTAAAAAATAACAAAGTAAGTCAAGTAACAAGATCAACTTGATTTAGTATGTAGGTATTAAAGCATATTATAATGTTATATGTTTTCGTGCCTTCACTTTACTGAACTCCTCAATAACTTCAGTGAAATCAATTTCTTTTGAAACACACAAAGCTACAAGAAATAAAAAGTGCCTCTTACTTTATTTTAACTAATTGAATTCTTTTACCGATCGTTTCTTATTTTATTTTCCTCATCCATATCCATATTTCATATGTTTATTTAAGTCCAATTTAAATTTCTCTTACAAAATTTATTTAAATATACATAAACGCTTATACGAATGTGAAGTGTAAAGTTGAAGTAGAAAGCTTGTAAAATTAGATTAACTTCTTAAACTAGGGGCCTCATTTTAGCTTTGCCGCCCCTGGCCTCTGAAGGGCTTACTCCGCCACTGTGTGTATGTACGCTAATGAAAAGTTATACTTTTATTTAACACATATTTTTTCCAAACGCGCCAAAAGAAGGATAACTATGAAAAGTTATTAAATAGTTTATCATAATGAAATTACTAATAAAGTAAGGAATTTGTAGATCATATACATATACTACAATGAATAAATATAATTCTCTGTATTAAAAAAAACGGAAAGCAAGTGCAAGGTGAGTAATAAATATCGGTATATCAAAATCGATATTATGTAGCGATGTTGAGAATTATTTTAAAGTATAGAACTCGTATCATACGGCATATTATTAACAGTACTGTGGTGTGTTTTTGTATTCAATGTTACTAGATGCTCTTAGGATATACGAGTCCTATTTTCGTGCACATTGCTCCGAAGCAAATACACCGGCTTCAGGTCATTCAGAATAGATTCTTGCGCAGACCTACGGGAGCACCGTGGTTCATGCGCAACATAGACCTACACGTAGATTAAGATCTGTCCACAATTACTCAATTCCTGAAGTCGGCGTCGCGCCGCTACTTCGAATCCGCCGTAGCGCATCCCAACACATTAGTCATAGATACCGTCACCTGCAAACCCTTACTGCTAGGTAAGTTCCGCCGCCAGTGCCAACGCTTTCCGAAGTGGTACTAACGATAGCTATAGAAATCCTTCTAGTCAGACTTCAGCTACCGATCGAGCCGAGGTTCGGGCCCCTCGAATCGGAATGCTAAACGGGTATTGAGTGACAGCTCAAGCCGAGGTCCCCTCTCGGGGGCCCTTGTGCCTAGTCACTCCATGGAGCGTCCGCCAAAGTGGCCTAATAGCTTGGTGGCCTCCCAAACCGGTGAATCTAATGATAATAGCATGATGGCCCGAATCGAGGCTCCATTGGGAGCCCTAGAGCTTAGTCGCCATAACGAGTAACCGAGGTTCAGGCTAGGCCCCTCAGCACCCGGCCACCTTAAATCCGTTGGACCTGTAATTCCAAGGCCAACAGTGGTTGATACACTGGTAGAGAATGCCAATAGGCATTAAGTCCGCCCTTTGTAACCCTTTGAGGTATTTGAGGTGTTTTCGGTAAAGAATAAATAAATAAAACAAAATACAGCCAAAAAAAAAACAGCATATAATTTTAAAATTCAATCAACTTTTAATTGAGACTAAAACCGATGTTTTAAATGTCGATATTTCCTGCGGTTTTACCCTTGGGTATGGAACCGTAAGAACCCTTTTTCTCAAAATCTAAATGTCAGTGCATTATTTTTACTTTGTAATAATAATAATTCTGAATGTTTTGGGCATATGAATAAATGATCATCCAAAAAACGACGGTACATCGATGTTTTTCACTCGATTTTTTGCGATGTGCTTTAACATCGGTACCATTTTTTTCACTTGCTCATACCTAGCGTAAGCGTAACCACAAGCAACCAACCAAGTTTAACTTGATATGTAAATAATGTCAATGTCAGAGTATATCCAAGTATATCATTTATTATCACTACGTTGATTGTTTTTAACAACATAGCGACTGATACAGTACAAAGAGTAAAGTAGTACTAAAGCTAAACTAATGTACACGGGTATTGGTGCTGCAACCAATATTAACTGTACCGTACGATTTCTGATCGACGTATTTCTGCGTCTGTTACTTAGTTTCAAATATCAGATAATTGAAAATAAAAGCACACAAATAGTTTCGGAGTAGTCTGAGCATAGGTCACAAGTTTTAGAAGTGTGCGGGTTTCAAATTTTGAGTAGAAAAATAATAATAATTTGTGTTGTGATAGATGCCGTTTAAAAGTTTTGTGGTTTTATAATATTACATATTATTAAATACTTTATTAGAAATGGAAAGTGTTCTTATGCAAAATAAAGTTAAACTATTATTTGAAAAAATTCTTGAGCCTAACTATGTAATGGATAATTATTACGCTGATAACTTATTTATTAAAATAAACAGTTCTGATCCAGGTGAGTTAAATATTCTGTGTCTATTAAATGTACATAAAAACATTTTTAGGAATAGAGGTAACTGTCTTTCACAGCAGCATCAAACGGTTTTCTTTATTGCCCATACTGTATCATAGAAGGATATATTAAATAATACATTTAAAGGATATCAAAAGGAAGTCATTAAACTTAAAATATATAATTAGTTTATTGAAAACTTCAAAAAGTTTACTTTTTGTTAGTAAATCCAACTATTATAATTGTGTTAAAGCGTTAAAGCAGTTCTTGGCTTTTGATTTAACATTCTTTGTGAAGTAAAAAAGTAATTTTATTAATCACACTGAACTGCATCAACATTAGATAAGCATAGAGCATATGAGTGGGATATGTCCACTTGTGTTATAACTTAACATAGTTTTCATATTTAGATAACAACATAGGTCAACATAAGATCTTCTGAACAATTTTATAATTACCTATTATTAGTATCAAGTACACCTGATGTTAAGTGAATACCGCTGCCCATGGACATCTGCCACACCCAATGGTTACAGATGCGTTGACAACCTTTAGAAAATTAGGCTCCGGCTATATCACTGACCAGACAAAATGCGAAAGTATTTGTCATACTTCCACTTTACACTGGTCTTCTGTAAGGTCGTGGTACTTCCCGGTACGGGCCTGCCCAATCGTGCAACAGCCGAGGCTGCTGCGTGGCCCTACCACCGTAACGTGGCCCTACCACCGTAAAATCTATGTACTATTTCCCATGGTATTGTTACCGTTTCGTGTCAACGGTTACATAGAAACCGATGCATTCATTGATGACGATTCTTAAGTGACGCCCCTGCTAGACACTCCAATAATACCATCCATTGCCCGCATCTAACCCAATTCACTCTGTCATTCATTCTTTTTTTAACTCAATTCTTTACCCTAGCAATGTTGCATTTCTTAATTTTTAATCATATTTTATCTGGTAGTGCGAGTGCTAGTGAGGTGTTAATTCGTATTAATAACATCCGAGTTCGTCCAACGATCCGTCCAATACGATAGACACCACTTTAATCAATCAACTACTGTTCACTTTAAAGAAATTTGCTGGCGTGCATGCCTTTGCTTCGTGCCATGGTTTGCCCCTAGCGGTATGCACCGCTTTTACGGCTTCTCTGATATTATGAGAGTAATGTGTAAGTTCACTAGCGAGGTGATCGCTTATCAGTGGACATAGCCATTTTGGCCATTAAGAAATCAAAACACCCTCTTACACTCTTAAACGTGTACATTTGACATAGGATTACTGTAGTAAAATCATGACACCGCATATTTACTACAGCGCATACAGCGCGGTCAATGTCCAGCGTCCTATTAAGATTGTCACGATGAGATCATCATATTGGTTAAATTTTTAGAAAACGAGGTCGTATATGAATGACGATGGAGGGTACATCTTTTAAAAAAAAAATATATTTTATTCTGCACAGCATTTAAAATAATGGTTATTATTTACAGCTTTTTTAACTCGGGAATGGTGGTTTATTTTATCTTTTACTATCTAAATACCCAAATTTCATATTTAACACCACTGTCTTTCCTTTTCCAGAAGTTAAATCCTTCAAGTCCCTGCCGTTCTTGGCGGATCAAATCGTCGAGGCCCTCAATCGTTTCGAGACGTTAAACAACACAGTGAAAGTGTTCCTCATAAGGATGCTGGCAGTCGTGTTTGACAGGGAGGTGAATTTCGCGAAGATTTTCTCAAGAAAAGGCGACATGCTTGCCCAAGCGTTCCATCAGATCAACTGCCCCACTATGAATTCCAGTTTGCGCGTGGCTTATATGGAAGTAGCGCTCACACTCGTGAACCACGATTCGGGTGTTTATTGGTTGTACGACAGTGGCGTCTGGAAACAGATCCTGTTGCTTTGCAATGAGAAGCGAACAGTGTTTGTCCTACGAATGACCTACAAATTCGCATCTACGTTTATGTGGGAGCTTAACAGATTTAGCGACGCATCGAAACTCAAAGCCGTACTCGAGTACATCATGAAGCCGGTTCTGGAGACCGATTATTTATCGGTCGATTCGATGACCAGCGAGAATGAAGTTGAAATCGGCAAAACTGTCGAGCCCATGCTGCAAATGTTACTGTCAATAGTAAGCAACATTGAGGAAATAAGGAAAGAGAACAATATGCTTACGGAGATCTTAATAAAGGAGTCGAATGTCATAAACTATTGCTATGTGCTTTTAGACAAACTGCGCAGGGAAGATATGACGCTGCTACTGACAAAAATACTTTTCTCAATGTCGGTTGCGAAAGTTATTAACACAAAACCAATAATAGACAACACTACGTACGACAGGAACGCGTTTGTAGACCTTGGTTGTACCTACCTTAATATTCTTCAGTACCTAATCCAAAGGCGCAGCCCGACGTTAGTTTTCGATTTCTGCAACGCCTGCAGTGCCATTTGGACTTCAGCGTGGGAAGGCAAGCCGCCCGCAGTGTGGGTGATGGACGGCAAAAGGGTTGAACTGCACAATCAGATCGTGGTTATTACTCTAGTGCCGTCAATGGTGTATGCAAATCTTGGGAAGCCCAAATCATTTCTATCGAACGATAGGGTAGATAGCTACATGTTGAAACTAATGAACTTAATGTGTGAGCACACCGCTAGGGCGGCATACGCTCTTAGGGATTTGACACTACAACTGGACCCGCTGTCAATAACATTGCAGAGCGTGAAGAGGCTTGGTTGTTGGAGGAAGAGCTTTAGCAGTGAGCAGGCAAATATAGTTTTCCAAGCGCTTTTTTATGTACTAAAAGAGTATGAGCCTTTAGACGATGATTCAGAGATAAGAGACAAACCAAATTTTGAAGACAGCAAGCAGAAGAACCTCGTGATGACGTACGTCCTGGAAACGCTCTTGACGTTGGTGCAGTCGTATAATATAACGTGGGAAGAGAGCTTAGAAGTATTATGTCTTTACACCATGGTGTATAACATATTAAAAAGGCCCAATTTGCCCTGCAAGGTTGGTAACATGACGTTTCATTTATTTCTAATACTTTCTAATATTACGTGAATATTAGAAATAATTGAAAACCTTTCCATTCTGCAGTATATTTTGTTGTTTGGTGATGATTAATACGCCTGGGATGTTGCCCCCAGTTCGTGGTGACTGCGATTAATGTGATTGCCATGACGGTGAAGAAGTTCCTGCCGCCGAATCTGTCGCTGCTGATGGATTTGAAGCCGGGCTCCTCGATGCACGAGCTGGGCAAGCTCATATACATTAAGCTGCACGATAACGATTGGGAGGTGCGCGACTCAGCGCTCGAGCTGCTACTGGTGTGCACGGACATATCGTTCATAAGTAATTTGACTAGACTTTTGATTTGGCCAATTCAACGTGTTCACGTTATGCTGCCTTTTTCTAATTTCTATTTTTGACGTCTGCAACTGTATGTTTCATATGTTTATTACACTATTTGATAGTGATTATGTAAGCACGAGATCACTTTTAGAGGTGAGGCGCATATACTAGAACAGATTATGTAATAACGTTTTACTCAATATCATAATAAAGTACAAACGCGTAACGAGTTTTTAGAAGTATTGATTACACAGAAGTCTAAAACACAAAATAATTCGTCACTGGAACGCATCGCATTTGATACTCTGTTCTCGTTGCTTTGCAAGACGCGGTCAAAGACGCTTTCGATGGACGTACGTGTGTGAGTGAGATGGATACCAATGTTAATGACAACCGACCTTATAAGAGTTCAGATCATTTATTTAATAATTTAAACTCTTAATACTCGTACCCAGACGCGTTCAAGGAGTGTGAGTGTGGCGAATATTAGAGCTATAATAAACCTTAGTACCTAGTCAGGTCATAAGTTCTGTAACATGTTTATTGTGAAATAATTCACACAAGTTTGTTTTTGCAGTAACTTATTATATATCAAAAATAACTCATTAAAACATATATGCCTATGCTAACTGAGCTGATCTCCGCGATTTTTAATACAAGCCTTCAACCTGTGCGGTCCACAATCCACGAGTAGGTCCACATCCACGAGTAGGTCCACAGGCGGCTGCTGTGATCAAGTACGCATGGTGTAATTTCCTTATCATTATGAATAAACATTTTCCCCAAGTGTTGCCATATTTTATAATCCGTTGGATTATAAAATATGGCAACACTTCATGGAAAGATACAACAGTCGTGATTTTGACAACAAAATTTAAAAAGTATAAGGTATACTTTTTAAATTTAAATAAGGTATACAGTACGTAAATACGGACAGAAATATGAAAATTCCAGTCCCCATTAGCTATGTCACAAGTCCCTACTATGGTGACGGGACGCTTACTTTTAAATACTCGTAGAGCTAGTCTTTGCAACGTGCTCTCAACGAACACTTACTCACCCTACATTATAAATTTTACGGATTTATCGCGCACCACTACTGCAAGACAATATACAATTAGCTCCCTCTGCATAGATCGGACACAAAAAATTAATAATTCCAAAAATTAACGGGTTAACTATGACAATCAGACGTCTAACACCTCAGTCTGTCCCGTGACCATGAACGCTGTAAAGGGTTCGAAACGTCGAGAATTAAAATTAAAAATAAAGGAGATAAATCCGTAAAATTAGTTTCATTTATAACAAATTTTGTCTTAAAAAATGACAGTTTTTGAGATGAAAATGACTCATTTAAAAATGTTAATTTTTCATTTTAAAATAACAATTTTATTATTATTATCTATTAAAGAAAAATCAGATCGATTACTAGATGCAAATGTGTCTGTTTAGTCTGGTCTTAGACAGACCAGGCTGTGAAAAGACATTCTATTTTTTCTTTAACTATACAATTACTCGTAATTGTAGAGTTAATAAGCACTCTTATTATTATATTGCCTTCGTGAAATAGAGGCAGCTTCTAACATCTACAGAGACCGAGACTAAAAAGACATCAACAAATGAAATTACAAATGATTAAATATCTAGTTTCAGTAATCTACGCAATCCCCGAGAAGGCCTTTGATTGCGTACATCATATGATTTAGAAAAGCAAGAGTAAAAAGAAATTTACAAAACAAGTGTATGCTTGCGCACACACCACAATGTGTGGGAGCAAAATTATTAATAAAAACTCTCCCATAATGCAGAGTTCCCGCCGTTTCAAAATCAAATAATAACGAACAATCTGATCACCGTCGCGGCCACGATGGCGCTAAACGACCACGAGTTCTACGTGCGTGCCTCGGCACTGCGATGCCTGGGCGCCGCCTCCGTGGTCTCCGCAATATGGGAGCAGCTCATAGAGTCCTTCCCCAACATTAACGTACGTAAAGTTGCCTTGATTCCTTCTAACACCACGGCCACAAGCTGGTTGCTCGCCTGTCGCCACTTAGATTTGCTTACTGCCAATGTTAACTACACACAGGATATGTTTAGTATAGATTTGATATTTGGAGTCCCATTCGAAATGAGACCGGATATGTCGGAGTCGTTTCGAATGAAACGACATGGCCACGGAGCCGCTTTAATATTGCTAGCTCTGGCCGACTCAGCAGCCTCTCTCTATCCTCCAGATTACGCATTGGAACTTAAGCGCGCCCTCCTACTCGGCACCTTTTGTGCGGTAGATATTCATAAAGAATCTAGAAGGTTTTTTTTGGGTATGAGTCTTGTGTTTAGGTAATACAGTCTATAGAAACTGGGACTAGCAAATAGTTTGATCAAAACGTTTAAAACAATCATTTTTTGTTCGTGAAGTACTGTTTTAGCCAGTTGACAGCAAAATCTTTATCAATGTCTAACATTACTCTTATTCCATTTTCAGGACATGATTCTGTCCACACTTCTTACGAATCCTGAGGGCATAGTACGAATGGAGGCGTGCAACCTTCTTTGCGAAATTTATCAAAACATCAAAATATCGCCGGAATTCAAGCAGGTGCTGTACGAGAGCATGTTGTCCGCGGCGCTGAACGATTTCCACTGGGAGGTCCAACTGAGCGCGCTCAGGTTCTGGAAGTTCGTTATTCGACAGACGCTGCACGCACAGGGAATGCTTGACGGCACCTTTCCACCTGTCACTTTCTCGAAGGAGTCGCGCAAAATCATCACCCTGAACGAGGTTGCGATCCGGAAGCGGCTGAACAAGGCGCTCGAGGAGCTCGCTTCGATCGGCTGCCTCACGGTGCTGGTGAAGTTGCTGCAGGACGACTCCGAAGTGGACATAATGGAGTCCGCGCTCCAGATATCCACGGATCTTTGCGACATACTCGACCGCTACCGAGTGGCCGACACCCTGAAGCCCACTGAGGGAGAACCGAGCAGCGTCGAGCAGCTCGACTGTCGGATCAAACTGAGGGACTACGGCTGCGCCGAACAACCGGGTCTGGAGCCTGAGGCCGCGACCGAAGCGGACAACGTCATCGAGGGCATACTGAACGTGGACGACGTGAATCTGCTAACGAAGATGTACGAAAGGCAGCTGAATCTTCAGAACGAGCCGCGGCCAGAAGAAGCCCAGTCCGAAGGCGCGAAACTGCTCAAGTTCGCGACACCCCACCTGTTCGTCACGTTCATGAAGAGCAGGGACTTCAGGACGTCGATCGAGCAGAAGAGGAAATGGAGGGAGGGCGTCAAGAGCCTGTCATCGCTGCTGGACGACATGCTGGGCGTGTACGAGATCGACGAGAGCGTCAACTCGTTGGATTGTTATTGAGATTAATGTTGTACCTTAAGTGTACTATTATGTTATATTGATAGATGACAAAACTAGGTCAATGCTCAGAGCAATTTTTGTTCAATTAAACTTATTTACAATGTATGCATGATGTTAGAAGTGGGCGATACAAATCGTATCAGATATGAAAACTAGATATTAGTACAATATCCGAATATCGCTTACTGGCTCGTTCAATATCTATGTATTTTACAATATCTGATATTTCCGAAATCTGATGTACCGTGCTCGCTCGCTATACCGACACGAATCGCGATATCATACGCATTTGCCACAATATCTGATTTTTAAACAGATTTCGAGAGACAAAGCGCGTGAGATACAAATACTCACTAGTTAGAGCGGGACGGCAAGCAATGCACGATATCAGATTTCGAGCGACAAAGCGCGTGAGATATAAATACTCACTAGTTAGAGCGGGACGGCAAGCAATGCACGATATCAGATTTTTAAACAGATTTTGAGCGACAAAGCGCGTGAGATACAAATATTACACTAGTTAGAGCAGTACGGAAAGCAAGGCAAAATATCAGATTTTTAAACAGATATTATGAATAAGTTAAGTAATTTTGAATCTTAATGCCATGCAAATAAGATCCGTTTCAATTACATACTAATCATGGTATCAACGATTACTACAAAGATATTATTAAGTATATTTTTATTGTTTTGTTTAGACTTGAGCCGTAACGGGCGACAAAGCGCGCAGTTAAGTAATTTTGAATTTTAACAGCATGGAAAAAAACATTTTTAGTTGCATTTAAATACGAATTACGGTATTAACGATGTCTTTAAATTTTGTTTAGCCTTGAGCTGGATTGCATTGGCACGTAATAGTAAGGGATGCCAACTTAAGAATTTTCTGCCTAAATTAAGGAAGAAAAATATAAATCGAAATTTTTTAGGGGGCAAATTTTTTGTGAATATTTTTATTACTTAAATTTTATTCATATTTTTGGAAAAAAATAAAACTATACAAAAAGAAAAATATAATTTAATAGTGCTGTGCTGCTTGGGTGGAAATCAGACCAAGGCTTATGTGCTTTGTGTGTATATTTTAAATTCTTCCGCCCTAAGTTATAATACTGAATGTATTATTTCTTACACAAATTATAAAAATATTGTCACTCATGATTGCGTGTTCTAAGAATATGTTAAAGTCAATTATTAAGCGATATATAAGATGTTAAAATAAATCATTTTTATATTACTTCAATCTCTATTTTTAATGAAATTTTTTATTTAATCAGGTAATGTTTTAATTTTACCTTAATAGTATAAAAAAATCGTGATTTTAAATCCAGTAAGTTTTTTGAATTTAGTAAATTTTAGTGGGTTTTCGAATTTATTTAGAAGTATTCTTTTTGAACAGTTGGTATCACTGGTAATAGCTTTAGTTATGTATAGGTCGTGATCGTCGAACAAGACTTTCGACGAATAAAGTCAAACAGCTTACGTTCGTAAACGTGAATTGAAACCCGGAGGAATCAAAATAAATAATTAAAAATTAGTTTTAAATATCAGGAAAATTATGTACATAGAATGAATCAACTTTTAAATACGCCTGCACAATTTATATTTATAATAAGTATAAAATAATGTTGAAAACATTTTTTTTTCTTTTTAGAATTCAAGGTTTAGAATTCATACGGGACCGTAAAATATATTAAAATACATAGTTTCGATATCTGATATCGAAATCTGATTCAGATACGGTACTCAGAAAAAGCGATACGACCCATCTCTACATGTACTCGTCAAGTTGTCCAGGTGGCGTTGGAAGTCATTCGTACCAAAATTCCATTGTACTACACAGGGTGATGTTAATGAGCTTATAGTTTTAATTACTTATAGTATATAAATGTTGAAATAATTTGTGTTCCTTTTATTCTTATCATTAATTCCAAACAAAGATCAGTCTTCTAGAAAATTCAAAAACTATTTGTGAGACAACTCTTATGTATAGGCTTATAAGTTATGTATAAACTTATAAGTTTGCGGAAAATTTAGGATCAACTAACGCCCCGGTTTCTGAAACACTGATCATCATAGAAGTTAACTAATCAGCTGTCAAATGGCTTTTCAAATGTTATTTAAATTGTTAAAAGGATGGTTAAACTCTCTGAATTGATCACAATGATCTTCTTAATGATTATAACAATGTAGATAAAAGACGTTAACATTTTCGTCGGTGTAGCGATCAGCAGTTTAGCTTAGTGGCTAAAGCGTCCGGCCGCGAATGTCGAAGACGTGGGTTCGATTCCCACAGCGGCGACAATTTTTTCGTACTTTTTCTACAAGTTTTAATGGAAAGGCTTACTCAAAATCTTGATAGTTATTGCAGATACAACATTAAATCGTAAGAAAAGACATATAGACAATATTAACATCTATATATTTACCAAACTAAACTATATTACATTTACTCAATTTCTATAACAGCTCCAACTTTGGATAATGCTTCCTTTAATTTCTCTGCTTCATCTTTGGAAATGTCAGCCTTAACAATTGTTGGTACACTTTCAACAAACTTCTTGGCCTGAACTAAATTGAATCCTTCCAGGAGACTCTTCACCTCCTTAATTAATGCTACTTTCTGTTTATCATCAAACTTTGTCATTTTAACCTAAAAAAAAAGCAAAACGAAGTAAAATTCCAAATATAAATAATTTAAAATTCACAAAAAAAAAGCAACGTATAGTTTTGATATTATTAACGCAGCCGCAAAATTTTCTCTGACCTTGCGCGCAACTATTGATAAACTGTCAAACAAAAACTAAAGAAAGCGAACTTAAACATCATGCCATTCGTAAATTAAACAAACATTTCAACTCCGTTTCGTGGACTGTGTTCTTTAACGAGTTGATTTTATTAAACGACAAAATTTCCGAAACGACGTTAACGAATTCAACTAGTTGATTTCATTGACCGTTGAAGTAAGATATACGTTAACAAGAGATCAACGGTTGATTCAACTAGTTCGTTGTTTCAACGCCCATCACTGATATTAATTTATACAACTGTTTTGAAACATTTTAAATGAACATGTAAACCACAAAAAAATTATTACTTTTCAACAATTGTATTGACTAGGAACATTATAATTTTTGACCCAGATTGAGTATTTTGAATTATTCATGGTATTATAATAGTACATGTGATAATCCTGGCACTTGCTTTTAGTTCAATATACTCAAGCAATGTGAGTTCAATCCCTGGTGCTGGCGCCACTGAAATTGTTAATTTTAAGTGGTGACTTATCATCACATGTGCAGTGGTGAAGGAAAAAGTTGTGAAGAAATGTGCATATTTTTGAAATAATAACCAAAAAAAATATTGCAAAGATTTGTAAAGTTTGCCAATCCATAGTGGGGTGTCTGGTGTATTATACCCTAATACCCTCTGTACAGAGAAGGCCTTTGCTCACCAGGGGGACATATATAGGCAATTATACTTTAACTTTTTTGTAATATCATTCAATACATACAGTGAAGTTTGTTTTAACAGCTTTTGGTGTAGCATCCTCCTCCTCTTGTGCCACAGGGGCAGCCATAGCAAATCCACCCATTGGCATCATGGGAGCGTCAGGAAGATTTAGTCGCTTCTTTAAAACCTGACTAAGTTCTGACACTTCTAAAAGGTTAAGACTAGTGATTTCTGTAATTATCTTTTCAATCTTAGGCGATACAGGCTTGTCTATACCTTCTGGAGGTGGAATAGTAAGAGGGCTAATAGCTTCACTTACATCTTGGCGCGAAATTGAGCTGGAGATGTTATGGAAAATGTTTAAGGTGCGCTTAAAAATTTTCATTGGCATTATATATTTTTTATTATACAAATTTTCAAAATATTTGTGTAACCTAGTTTATGTTGTATTACTCTATGGTTATGTAATAATGGTGGTAGGGCCAATCAGCAGTCTCGGCTGTTGCACGAATGGGCAGGCCCGTTCGGGTAAGTACTATGACCTCACAGAAGACCAGCGTAAAGTGGAAGTATGACAAATACTTTCGTGTTTCGTCTGGTTGAGGTAACCCAATTTTCAAAAGGTTGTCAACGCATCTGTAACCCTCGGGTGTAGTAGATGTCTATGGACGGCGGTATTCACTTACCATCAGGTGAACCGTCTAATCGTTTGGCAACTTTTCACATAAAAAAAAATAATGCAAAATATTAACCAGTCTTTTATACGAAACTATTAGTTATGATAATTACGATTACACATTAAGAAAAATATTTTATTTATTGTGTATAGTTTATAGTAGAATTGGTAAAGCTGTATGAATATCCTAAATACTTTTATAAAATATTTATTGATATATTATATAAGAGAAAAAAACATACACAAGCCATTGGTCTTTAAATTGAATTAATTCAAAATATAACCTAGAAATTTGCTTGATGCATAAATAATTTATTTAATCAATTTACCATCGCGAAAAGGTACGCCATTGGCGAAGTGGGACATTTCTTAAGATCTTCACGGTGTTCATTATATAAATCGGATGTTATTTTTTAACGCTCAACTTTTTAAAATAAAAGAGCTCACTGTTAATTTCTTTAAAATGAAAAATTATAATCTATAATACTTAATAATAGGTTATACGTATAGATAACTTATATTACAGGAACCATCCCTAGCACAGACTATTAATAAATAAATATAAAAGTATCATATTTATATTTCTTTATTTTAAGTTAATATATGGGAAACTCATTCCGATTCTTTCAACTAATTTAAAAGTAAGAGTGGCTGGTGGCGTACTCATCAAAGGATCTATCTCACATTACTAACATTAGTAAAAAATACTTTTTCAGTGTAATCAAATATAAGCTATTTCTTGGTTTTACGCTAACCCATGAATTTAATTAAAGATCCGGACGATACATTAAATTACGATAAATAATAAAATTCTTCCGCCACCGCTCGAAATCTCACGGTCCAAAAAAGACTTCCCTTTAAAGTATAGACCCATAAGTTTCATATCAAAGATGTGTAAGTATCATATTGGACGAAAACCAACCAATGCAACTGGCTTTAGGAAAACCTTCTAAATGATTATTTTTGGAAATGCTGTTCACGGACAGTAAGACCATTAAGATCATTTTCTAGGAGGTGCGCTATTAACCGTTGACCATTAGTAGGTACTCTTTCCATGGCCGAATTCTTCCAGTACATATTCGTCTTCTTTTTATCTAGCACCTCTTTGCACATTAAAACTCCACATTAGAATAATAATATCATTATGGTATACATATATGATTTGAGACAGTTTGTTGTACTAAGATTTATGTTCAAATTTTTCTGCTTGTTCAGTTGAATCATAAATTAAACATAATTTCTGCAAGCAATGCAAAAAATGATTTTATGAATCATCAGCAAAAATTGAAACAGTTCACTTGCGAATGCGAATTTCGACACACGATATCCAGCAGGTCGTGTAAATAAATTGTTAATTGATACTCTTTAGCGTTAGGCCTCAATAGGTAGATTACATTATCTTGATAAATTCCACTATCGTTTGCGGTCCGAGCAGAGGTTCGAATATAACACCTCACACGCAAAAATATTTCAAAAAATTTTGTGATGTAAATTAAACAGAAATCTAAAATCTTTTAAGGGACCTTTATTTTATTATTGATACTGATTTTTAAGGGAACCTTTGGAGTAAACTGACATTAACTTTAATTTTGCTCATATGTGTAAACAACTCTCTTAGTTCTATGAATCTCTTCCGATGCCATATTTATTGTGAACTTTACAAGTCCATTTTTTTATTAACGAAAAACTAAACCGACTTCAAATATCTGGCTCTGAATTAATTTTATAATTGATTTTCAGGAATTCCCTCAGTATCTCTAGAGCCCAAAATCCAATACCAATGAAGTTAATATGGGTCCACATGGGAAGCACCAGCTTTCACATTCTTTTTATGGAGAAAAGGAGCAAACGAGCAGGAGGCTCATCTGATGGTAAGTGAATGGGAGTTGAGAGCGGTATTTGCCCCCCCCCCCCCCCCCCCCCCCAGAATACGTGGGGCAGCCTGAGCGCCTACGCTCAGAAAGCGAATAATCACATCATAAAAGAATCATCAAAATCAGTTTACTCAGATGAAAGTTCTTGGGTAACAAACAAAAAAAAACTACAATCGAATTGAGAACCTCCTCCTTTTTTAGTAGTCGGTTGAAAATGTAAAGAATACGATTGAACCAGTTAATAATTATAATATATGCTGCTAAAGTAGGTACTCCAATCTATGGGTGGCTGTCACTGTCAGCAGGGATAACTGGGCATAGATTACTGTATACTGTTTAGAACCACAGACTACAGATTACTTTCTTGATGTGAATAGATTTTTAACCAAATTGCTCTGGATTGGAAGTGCGCGAGTTCAAAATGATACTCTAAGCAGGAAAATAAAAATAATACAAACATGCAACCGTGATGTGATAGTTGCTGTATGAAAAGTTTTGTTTATTTGTGATTTTGCGTTTTAGGAACGTTATCAAAATGGAAAATGCACTTATACAAAGTAAAGTTAAACTGTTATTTGAGAAAATTCTTGAACCTAACTATGTTATGGACAATTATTATGCTGATAATTTATTTATTAAAATAAACGGCACTGATCCAGGTAAGCAAAAATTCATGATTTGTTTTCAATTTAATACATGATTTTGCATTTAAAGAAAAGGTAGCAAGCAATAAAAAATCTACTTGAGCTACTCATGTCTATCAAAATTTGTCAATTGATGACTCCGTGGCGCTGTCGCCAAGGTATTGGCTTCGGTGTCGGGGGTCGTGGGTTCAATTCCCACACGGGACAATTATTTGTGCGACCCACAGATAGTTGTTTCGCATCTGGGTGTTTGTCCACGTGAAATTTATGTATGTAAAACCTCCTTACAACACAGGATTATGTTATCCTAAAGTAAGGGCAATGTTTAAAAAAATGTATAATATAAAAAAAATATAAAATATTTTTAGTTTTCAAATTTAACCATAGAAATTATATTACTTCTTTAACTATAACAACACATTATCATCATTGAGAAATCATCTATAGCGAAGTAAACATTTTTTGATTTTCCAATTATTATATTTGAAAAGTTTATTAAGTACATCAGTCCACTCTGTTTGAAATACAAGACTTACATTTGACTGAGTTACGGCCGGTTTCAATACTAGTCAAACCGATGGAAAGATTCTATTTCTTCATCGATTTGGCTACTGGATGTAGAACTGTGGTAGGGCCACGCAACCGTTTTCACTGTTGCATAAATGGACAGGTCAGTTCAGATACTCACCACAACTTCACAGAAGACCTGCATGAAGTGGAAGTGTAATACTTCTATTTTTTGTTTGGTGAGTGAGGTAGCAGGGGCCCACTTTGTTAAAAGGTGTTGCAAATGTCAACGGGCGGCGGTTATCACTTATCATCATATGAACCGCCTGTTTGCTTGCCACCTTCTTACATAAAAAAATACTTTGACATAAGTAATACAATACCTACTGTAAACCACAGATAGATTGAATATTGAAACCGGCCTAACTAAAGTCAGTCCAAATTTCTCTGTACATTTACATAGATTTTAATTTTGTGTTTGACTATGGAATTGATAACTATTGAGGTTAAAAAGCCTTTCTTTGGTCATAATTTATAAATACTTGAAAAATATGTTTTATCTTAATTGTCTTTGGGCATTATTTTTCTGGTGATTAAATTTAAAATGCCATGATCAATTTCAATACTGTAATATTAAGCAAGCACCAATACAATTGCAATCTTTGTTTGATTTATTAAATTTTTGAATGATGAAGCTCTATACATTGCTTTTTTTAAGTAGTATTTTCATTAATATTGAATAAAAATAATATACATTTATATTCTAAAGAAATTATAATTTTGTTTATAATGACATCTTTAAATTTAAACAATTATTTTTATTATTAAGTTTGGAATAAATAAATTTTGAACTGAATTTATCTTAATTTTTGAATAATAATGTTATTAAGTATCACTTAAGTAAAACTTCCTCAATAAAGTAACATGAGTTCCTCATAAAATAATTTTGAAAAAAATTAGTTTTGCACATAATGGCGGATTTTGTTAGCATTGCAATATTTAGTCGGCGCAAATTATACTTCGTAATTATTGTTTCCGTTATGTTTCTTTGTCAATTAAAAATATTTGTACACAAAAAGCAGCTCTTCTACTTTAAAACCACTTTCTTTCGTTTTTATTTGTGGAAGAAGATGGCAAACAAGCTGGTGGCTTACCATTTTACACGCCCATTTTCAACGCCCATAGGGTTGCAAATGCATTGCTACCTTTTAATAAAGTGGGCCCAGCAGCCACTCTTTAGTTTGAATAACCTTGTTCTAAAAACAAGTCTTGAAATCAAAAGCTTCTGCATTTCATCTATTGAGTGCAATAACTAGACCCCCTTTTTTATAAGGTTGGCAACACATTTGGCTCAGGACATTACATTTATTAGATGCCCATGGAAATTTAATACACCTGTCTGGATCAAGTATAGTCCTGATTGAAGTAGTAATCATAAACCGTAGGGTGAATCTGTTGTGGGAAATACTCTCACTACAAGCCTTCTATTTCAATTATTTACTTTTGTATAGCATAATTGTGATACCGCATATACAATGTTTTAATTTGACTTATTGAACATAAAATTTTAAGTATTAATTTACTTGTTGTTAAAACATTAACAATGGCCTTGTTTCAATCATTATGGGAGAGACAGAGACGGACTTATGTCATTCTAATTGTATACAGTTACTAGCAGACCCATCAGACGTTGTCCTGTACACGCGACTTAAATTTGACAACAACATATAATTTAAAAAAAAAAACCAAAAAAAACAAATTGTGAATCTAAACCATTCTCGAATTGACCTGAAGGCACACAAAAAATTTCATTAAAATCGGTTAGCCATTTAGGAGGATTTCAATGACACACACACGTACAGAAGAATTAAATATATAAACATTTATCGAAATGTTTACTTAAGATAAATACGGCAAGTATGTTGTTAATCTACCACGAATCAATCCGCCAGTTTTTTTTCTGTAAAATAAAAAGGCGACCGTGAACTTTCGTAATGATCAAATAACACAACTACTGTTTGCACAATAACTAGTTCCTTTATTGTTGCTGTAAATTCCGAAATTGAGGGACACTTTAAAATGCAAATTTGATTAAGTTGCATAAAAATTGAATATAATAGTAGTAGCAAATCGTAAATTATAAACGGATTTGATGACTTTACATTTAAGTTGTTGTCACCTTACTTATTTTTTTTATGCCAGAAGTTGGCAAGTGAACTGGCGGCTCACCTGACGTTAAGTGATAACCGTCGCCCGCCCATTGACACGTGCAACACCCGGACTGGCCTGCCCATCAGTGCAACAGCGAGGTTGTGTGATCCTACCACCGTTTATATCTTTGTTATATTTAATACCTTTACAAAATGTATTGCTTTATTGCAATTAAATGAATTAGAATTATTCAACTTTGCCTTACGCTCAAATTATAATGTCGATGGTGTTGGGTATTCAAACGCTCCTTTTTTTAAATATGTTTAGTTAAAAGCCACGCGGAAGTAAATCTAAAAGTTGGGTGTCTAGTGTAGTCTTATCACCGCACACTGGCGATAAGATCTACTAACATACAAACTCTACTCAATGCGACATGGGTCAAAAGATAAAAATCTCTGCCACCAGCGCCACCTATCTGGCACTAACGTATCTATCTTCGTCGGAATGGGCATTTCGCCCCTTATATGTATGCTAAGTTTCATATCAATTAGGCTAACGGTTCTTGATTTTTAGGTGTACATACATACACACATACTTTATCTTTTATACACACACACACACACACACACACACACACACACACACACACACACACACACACACACACACACACACACACACACACACACACACACACACACACACACACACACACACATATATATATATATATATATATATATATATATATATATATATATATTGTGTTTAAAGAATCAATTGTTTAATTATATTATTTTGCATTTGCACTCGAATTTTCAGTTGTCATTTTAATTATGGTGTCAAAATATGAAATGTGTTTTTTGTTTTCTTCCCTTTCAGAAGTACAGTTCTTCAAGTCTCTACCTTTCTTGGCGGACCAAATTGTTGAGGCGCTGTGTCGTTTCGAGACTTACCACAACACGGTCAAAGTTTTCCTCATAAGACTGCTGGCAGTTGTGTGCGATAGGGAGGTTAATTTCGCGAAAATATTCTCGAGAAAATGCGAAATGATGGTTCAAGCTTTCAGTCAGATCAATTCTCCCGCTATGAATTCTAGCCTGCGCGTAGCTTACTTGGATGTGGCGCTATCTCTGGTGAACCACAGCACAGGCGTTTGCTGGTTGTACGACAGTGACGTTTGGAAGCAGATCCTACTGCTTTGCAACGAGAAGAGGACTGTGTTTGTTCTACGGAAAACCTACAAGTTCGCGTCAACATTTATCTGGGAGCTAAACAGATTTAGCGATGAAACAAAAGTCAAAACCGTCCTCCAGTATATTATGAGACCGGTTCTGGAAACTGATTATTTAACTATTGACACGATGACTAGCGAGAATGAAGATCAAATAGGCAAAACGGTTGAACCTATGTTGCAAATGTTGCTTTCGATAGTAAGCAACATGGAGGAAATAAAAAAAGAGAGCAGTTTGCTGACGGAAATTTTGATCAAGGAGTCGAAAATCATCAGCCACTGTTACGTGCTTTTAGACAAACTGCGCAGAGAAGACATGACTCTGTTGCTGACAAAAATACTTTTCTCGATGTCTGTTGCAAAAGTTATAAACAAGCAACCAATAGCAAACAGCAACACCTATAAAAGAGATGCATTTGTGGAGCTGGGTTGTATCTATCTAAATATCGTTCGTTACCTGATACAGAGGCGCTGTCCGACGCTAGTTTTCGATTTCTGCAACGCGTGCAGTGCCATTTGGACTTTGGCGTGGCACGACAAGCCGCCCGCGATCTGGATGGTGGAAGATAAAAGGGTCGAGCTGCACAATCAGATCGTAGTGCTCATTCTGGTGCCGTCAATGGTCTACGCGACACTTGGGAAGCCCAAGTCGCTGCTGTCGAACGATAAAGTGGACGAGTACTTGTTGAGGCTGATGAACTCATTGAGTGAGCACACAGCCAGAGCGGCGTACGCCCTCAGAGATCTAACACTACAGTTGGACACGCTCTCGATAACGTTGCAGAGCGTGAAAAGACTGAGCTGTTGGAGGAAGCGTTTCAGCATTGAACAGGCAAATATGGTTTTCCAAGCGATGTTTTACGTATTAAAGGAGTATGAGCCAGCGGGCACTAATGACGATGAGACGAGTTCCGAAGTTCTACCTTTCGAAGACACCCAGGAAAGGACCCTCGTGATGACGCACGTACTTGAAACGCTCCTCATGCTGGTGCAGACGTACAACATATCGTGGCAGGAGAGTTTTGAAGTCACTATGTCTGTACAATATGGTTTATAACATATTGAAGAGGCCCAATTTGTCGTGTAAGGTCCGTACCATTACGTTATACTTATTGTTTTTTTTTTTTAATTTATAATCCTGCAAACTGAATAATTAAAAGCACTCGTTAGTTTTTTTTCGTGTGCAGTAAATATTTTATCATTCAATTCATCGACTATTCATATACATTCAATGTCTCTCATAGGATGCTAGAATAAGCTAGATTATCCATTTGTAATATCGATGATATTTGGATGGCAGTTAGCTTTCTAAAAATATCTATTAACTATTGTAGTAGGTACGCACCAGCTTCTACCGTTACTCGAATGGGCAGACGACCGGCGCGAAGTGGAGGTATTATAATTTCGCGATTCGCCTGGCTAGTGAGGTACAACCCCTCAGCTAGTCCAGATGTCCATGGGCGTCGGTAATCACTTAACTTCAGGTGAACCGCCCGCTCGCTTCAATTTTCGCGTACAAAAAATATATATTACTATGATTGGATATTCAATGAAGATTTATCACATTTGTGCACTGTCCAGTTTGTGATGACGGCGCTGAACGTTATCGCCGTAACGGTGAAGAAGTTCCTGCCGCCAAACCTCTCGTTGCTGATGGATTCCAGGCCGGGCTCCTCGATGCACGAGCTGGGCAAGCTCATATACATGAAGCTGCACGACTACGATTGGGAGGTGCGCGACTCAGCGCTCGAGCTGCTACTAGTGTGCACAGAGATATCGTTCATAAGTAATTCCGTTCTCCTTTAAACAACACGCCACATCTGTTTATTCTGATGGAGTTTTTCCGCGACGCACGTACGGTACTCGGCGATAATAGGTTAATGAGTTTTAGTATTCGGATATATGAGTATTGCACGTGGACATTTGGATTTTGGAACTACAAAATCGGCTAATTTCGCCTTCGCAGAGCGTTATCTCTATCGAACACTTGGGCAACGACTGAAAAACGTAACATAGTGTTACGAACTAGGTTTGGGATCGAAGTGAAACGCGGGCTGTTTAAACGTTCACTTTATTACTCCCAAAAAACGTGCGCGGTTGCCCCGTTTCTACCGTTCCAAATCCTTACTCAAATTCAAATATCTATATATATAATAATAATAGCATGACACTCGCTTATTGATTGTCAAAATATTACCACCGGTTGGGAAAAAAAGCCACCGTACTGGGAAGAACTCGCCCACTCCTTTCGCACCAATCTTCACCTAAGCATCTACAGGTCCGAAGGCTCACACGCTACCGCACCAATCCTCTGCGTACACCTTTACACCACTTCGCTTAAATGTTCACTACACTGTCTACTCATTTTTCACTTTACTTTTCTCTTCCTTCTTCCATTTCCTTCACTTAACTGCCCGTCTAGCACGCTCCGGGCCCTTTTTAAGGTCAGAATTCCGTCTTTTGCGGTTAGAGCATGCTCGGTTTTCTTTTCGTTCGTCTTTATTAGAGTTCTCTGGAATCAGGGCCCGAATTTTGATCGTCTCTTTAAAAGAAAGTTGCGAAGAAAATTTTTCTTTCACTTCACACTGCTGATTTCAAATAAAATCAAACCATTCGAAACGTCATTCGGGACTTCAAGAACGCCATGATCGTAACAATACTACATTAGTGTGGAGAAATTGGGCGTCGATTGTCTCTTTCCAAAGATCAATGTACAATATTTATATATCCGAATACCGTAACTCATTTATGTGCGGATATTTTGGCTTTGCCAAGTTCATCCGTGGAGCTCTGAAGACCGAAGAGAACATGGTTAAGGATATCCTAACGTGTGCACTTTTCGCAGAGTTCCCGCCGTTCCAATGTCAAATAACAACGAATAACCTGATCAACGTCGCGACCACTATGGCACTGAACGACCACGAGTTCTACGTGCGCGCCACTGCGTTGCGGTGCTTGGAAGCCGCCACCAAGGTCACCGCCATTTGGGACCAGCTCAGGGCCTCGTTCCCTAACATTAACGTGAGTGAAATCGGCTTTGGCGTCTTGCCTGTCAGCTTTAGGGCTAGGCTTGATTCCTTCTTCATGAACTAGGCCTAAGCGTCGTTCCCTTACATTAACGTGAGTGTAATCGGCTTTGGCGTCTCGCCTATCAGCTTTAGGGCTAGGCTTGGCCCTTCTTCATGACCTAGGCCTAAGCCTCGTTCCCTAACATTAACGTGAGTGAAATCGGCTTTGGCGTCTTGCCTGTCAGCTTTAGGGCTAGGCTTGATTCCTTCTTCATGAACTAGGCCGCCACATTAAGAGTGTCACGGCTTTGGCGTCTCGCCTCTCAGCTTTAGGGCTAGGCTTGGCCCTTCTTCATGATTTGGGTGACTTTGGCTCTTGCAGCTAGGGCCTCGTTCCCTAACATTAACGTGAGTGAAATCGGCTTTGGCGTCTTGCCTGTCAGCTTTAGGGCTAGGCTTGATTCCTTCTTCATGAACTAGGCCTAAGCGTCGTTCCCTTACATTAACGTGAGTGTAATCGGCTTTGGCGTCTCGCCTCTCAGCTTTAGGGCTAGGCTTGGCCCTTCTTCATGACCTAGGCCTAAGCCTCGTTCCCTAACATTAATGTGAGTGAAATCGGCTTCGGCGTCTCTCCTCTCAGCTTTAGGGCTAGGCTTGATCCCTTCATGACCTAGGCCTAAGCCTATACTTCGGTTTAGACCATGTTGAAATCGAAGTGTAGACCGATATCTAATGTTTCATTCGTACTGGTAAACTTTATATCTTTATAGAAAATTTTTCAGAATGAAAGTTTCGCATCTAAACAAGGTGATCGTGGACTTACAAATCCAATTTTGAAAATTTTTAACCGTTTTATATTTGCACTTTCAGGAAATGATTATGTCCGTACTGCTTGAGAATCCGGAGGGGATTGTGCGCAAGGAGGCGTGCAACGTTCTATGCGAAGTATATCAGAACGCAAAAATATCGCCCGCCCTAAAGAAGTCGCTGTACGAGTGCATGTTGTCCGCGGCGCTGAACGATTTCCACTGGGAGGTCCAACTGAGCGCGCTCAGATTCTGGAAGATTGTTATACAGCAGACTCTGCACGCCCAAGGGATGCTTGACGGCACCTTTCCGCCCGTCACTTTCTCGAAGGAGTCGCGCAAGATAGTCTGCCTGAACGACGTGGAGATACAGAAGCGACTGCAGAAGACGCTAGAAGAGCTCGCTTCGGTCGGCTGCCTCACGGTGCTGGTGAAGTTGCTGCAGGACGACTCCGAAGTGGACATAATGGAGTCCGCGCTGCAGATATCCACGGACCTCTGCGACATACTCGACCGCTACCGAGTGGCCGACACCCTGAAGCCGACTGAGGGGGAACCGAGCAGCGTCGAGCAGCTCGACTGCCGGATCAAACTGCGCGATCGCAGCGGCGTCGAACCGTCGGTTCTGGAGCGCCAAGCCGCGACCGAAGCGGACAACGTCATCGAGGGCATACTGAACGTGGACGACGTGAATCTGCTAACGAAGATGTACGAAAGGCAGCTGAGGCTACAGACCGAGTCGCAGCCAGAAGAGGCACAGTCCAAAGGCACGCAGCTGCTCAAGTTTGCCACGCCGTACCTGTTCGTCACGTTCATGAAGAGCAGGGACTTCAAGGCGGTCATCGATCAGAAGAGGAATTGGAAGGATGGCATCAAGAGTCTGTCCTCGTTGCTGGACGACGTGCTCGGCATTTACGAGTTCGATGAGGACGTCAACTCGCTTGACTGTTACTGAGATTATTGTGGCCTCCTTGATGACGTCATTAGATGGCCATCGCGCCATGGTTGCCTGTAAAAATGGAGAGGGTAGAAGTGAACTCCGACTGCGCTAGAGTTTTCGATAAATACTCGAAACATACACACCTGTCGAGGCTGGTAACATTTAAAAATGAAAGGTTAACAAGTACTTATGTGTTTAATAAATTTCTCCTGTTTTTTTTGTAGTAAAGTTAAAGGCAAGTACGAGATCGCCCAAAACAAAAACTGTTTTCGATTTGTATCAAGTCAAACCTGTTACCTCTACAATGTTACTTATGTAAAATTTTGTTTTATTTTCGTACAAATATTAGTTTTTAATAAAGTGTAGTGCAATAATTCTTTTGTTTGAGAAAACGTACAAATAAAGAATTAATACATAAGTGTTATCAATTCATTTCTTTGACAATTAAAAACTATAACCCACCAGCACATCGCTAAATGAAAAAAGTTTTAAATGTTTGCCAAACCATAAAGCAATTTTAAGTGGCTGTTGACACACTTTAATGACTTGGTGGCTCTGGCACTGGAGGTTGTGGTCTGGAGAGTTTGTCCAAAAATAATAAATTCTGATAAATTTGTTTATATAAAACAGCCTCACAATAGAGGATAACGCTATCCTACACAAAATGTATCTGACAAATAAATCTGTGATAGGGCTCGTGAGGGGTGCCGTGCCAATTACACCAGCTGCACCATTTGGCCGAACCGGGTGGAGTGGACCCACGAAGAGGGAGGCCCAAAAAACACAGTTCGCGGAAGATTGTGTTATGTGTTCCCGTGCCACCGGCCGATGCGATAGAGACAGGGGCAACATGGGTTTTTTTTTAAATCTCGCGTAAAAAAAGGGACTATCAAGGTTGTGGAGACACCTCACATGCTGTGCCCCATAAAGATTTATATAGTCTAATATTTGAAAGCGCAAACATCAATTAAAAAAAAATCGTCAATGATATAATGCCGTTACGATCCCGAGCTACCTAATATTGTATGAATAGGTAAAAATACAATATAATCAACTTAAACCACTCCTAAGAATGACCTCAGACTAGGTGAAAAAGAATTTTTTCAACGACATATTTTGTTGAATTGATCAATGGGTTCTTTATCTATTATAACGAATATCAGGAGCGTGATCGCGATAAGGCGCAGTAAATATAGAACAACCAGCATGTATTGACATTGTATTTGCATTACCTACTTCGAGAAAATGTCGTTCAACAGCCGGAAAAAGAAACTGATGCTTTTCTTCGAGAAGATCTTCGAAGACGACTATGAAATCAATGTTTATTACGCAGATAGCATACTGAAGTGTCTTGAGGGTGCTTCGATATGTGGTGAGCGAGTAATACCTACATATTTGTTATGAATTGTTACAGGTTAGGTTTTAACTTCGAAGTTTTTGTTTAAATTCAAACAGATTTGTTTACCTATTATACACATTACCTATTATATTGAATCCATATATATAGCTTATTATGCTCTATTCTATATTAATTCTATATAGATTTATTTTGGGGCTATATTTTCTTACATACAAAAATAACGCGTTGTAAATAAATTGTGGCTCTTTCTCACTCTTGAATTTGCATGAAGCTTATGAAATTTTATAGTGATAAATCTCTTTTTTATTTTGGGAAGAAATAAAAAGCGTCGCATTGGTGTCTTTGTTTCGACTCAATGTAGATTTTATAAACCTTACTACAGATGCCATAGCCTAGTAATCGATAAGGTTCCGTGTGTTTCTATACGATTTTGGTTTTACTATATATTTTAGATGGTAAATTATTTATCGGGTCATCTTTTTAAGGTCTTAAACATTCACTACGATATTATTCATTTAAATTTATATCTTGACTCAGTCAGTGGACACTTATAATTTAAATGTCGACACTTTTCAGGTCTTCAAAATAAATTACTAGATTCGTCATTCTTCTCGGATATAATATTAAAGACTTACAACAGCCCGACGATGAAAAGAAACTCGGTGGAAATTTTTATTTGGAAAGTACTTTCGATTATTTTCAAGAATGAACTCCACTTTAACAAATTAAATGCTATGGTTAGAGACGACCGGCTAAAATTGTTTATGTGCACAGCGAACGCGTGCGCATCGAATTCCGATCTAGTTTTGGCGTTTACTAACGTCGCCACGGCTTCGTTAGTGCACTATTCTGGCATTAGCTGGCTAGTGGAAACTAAGATATGGAGGTATGTGCTGTGTGCCTGTACACACACCAGACCTGTGGCAGTGTCTCGAGCAGCTTACAAATTCATCGCACAGTTAGTTTGGAAAGTCAACGAGCTTGAATATGATGCGGTTCTAAAGGAAATTTTCGAGTTTCTTATTAACCCCATCATTCACAATCGTTACAAAGCGACGAAAAATATAACTGACGGTGTGGAGAAACATATATATGGGCCCATGATGAGCTATTTGAATGCGATGATGGTGATATTAAGTGATACATTGAGCGTCATAAAAAATTATAAGATAATCCCACTCCTGACGAAAAGTTTTAACTTGGAATTGCAAATGCAAATTCTACTAGACGTAACTAGGGATTCGTATTTGGCTAGTATATTATGTGAGTTGCTGTTTAAGCTTTATTTTGCTGCGGTTAAAGAAGCATATTTCAAGTACAAGAAATCCGACTGCGAAATAATGAATGAGATAACAACGATATATAAAAACGTCATTCAAACATTGATCGAGAAGCAAATGCCTGAAGCGGTTGCTAGTTATGTTGTGAACTGCAATTTGTTTTTAGCAAAGTTGGGCTTTGTTTTAAGACCGCTAAGCTTCGAAAGAGATGGCAAGAGGTTTGAATTTCAGAACCAATTCATATTGCATTTGGTGGTACCACTGTGGACATATTACGCGACGAATTGTGATAGTGATGTAAAATTCGACGCAATAAACAATTACTCTTTTAAATTGTTGAACATTACGGTGGAACACATAGCGGAGTCTGCGGAATTATTTCGTACCGTCGTTGAGAACCATAGCTGTGACCTTAAAAAAATAACTATATACACAGTTAAGAATCTCTTCCAATTCAAAGGGAAACTAAACAAAGCGCAAGCAGGAGTTCTGTACCAAGGTTTGTTCTTTGTCTTGAAAACTTTCGTCATATCGGACGATGTGGACGCGCATTTGATATTAAACGAGAATCCACTGAAGACATCTGATGATATTAAATTGTTGATTCTCGTGTTAGATGCAATAAAAATGCTCTTGAAGGAACATCACATTGATTGGTACGAGAACTTAGAGATTATCTGCTTGCATGAGACGCTTATGAATTTGTTGAAGCAAAAATGTCTCTGCATAAAGGTATGTTTAATCGCTTTATCGTGAGATTGACCATGTGTCGAATTACTACACGCGATAAGATACTACTACGATCAGCATATCACGTAAAGTACATCATACAAAATAAAACTTTCAAGAAACATTTTAGGTGTAATTTAGATATCGCACAAAATATTTTGACTAAAAAATATTTTGACTTTTTTTGATAACAAACAGTTTGCTAAAATCGTCAGTAGGTACATATTGTACTCGGGCAATATGAAATTGGGGAGAGATATAGACATACTTATTTAGGGACTGCACTCGTTTTTATATAAATCATAAATATTAATTTGTTATTGAATTATTTTTATGTGAGAAAGTAGCAACCGAGCTCGCGGTTCACCTGATGTTAATTGATATGTATGTCCACAAAAATAAGGGTAAATTTTAAAGACGTAATACTGTTCATGATATAAATACTAGAAGAAATCATAAATTGAACCTGCTCACAAGTAGAAATCTTTTATGGGATAATGTACCTATACGTTTCTGCAACAAAATCCAAGAAAACGTTCAAAATGCATCAATAGCTGAATTAAAAAAGTAGTAAAAGAACGTTTGTGTGTTCAAGGTTATTGTAATATTAATGATTATTTAAATTATTTTAATAAGTAAGTGTAATGCTCCTATGTTGAATAAAGATATTTGAATTTGATGACCACCGCCCATGGACATTTGCAACATCCGTAGGGTTGCCAATGCTTCTCAGAGGCAGGTCGTAAAAAAAATTGCCAAAACCGCTTAAAACACATGATTCACATGTGCCGACCCCACTTAGGTGGGATAAGGGCAGGACGATGAGTGTTTATTTACTTCTTTCACTTGATTACTTATTTAAAATTAACAGACTTTGGTGCAAACACTGGACTTGATCGATATCAGCATTAAGAAGTTTCTGTGTCCTGATATGACGCTTCTGATCGAGAACAAAGACGAGAGCTCATTGGCTGAAATTGGCGCAATTACGAAGGAGTACATTCAGCACCAAGAATGGGAGGTGCGGGACTCCGCTTTAATCTTACTACTCAGCTGTACTCAGCTTTCCTTTGTCAGTATGTGATATTTATGTTATGTATATTTTTTGTGAAATTCACATTATCCTGATTTTTCGTTTAATTACTAAATTTTGACTAAAAATCTGTCCTGATTGCAATGGTGGTGCTGTGAGATTGCAGATGGCATAGACCATCTTTAACAATGCTTTACTATAGAATGCACAGGCGGATAGTAGCCGGTCTGTACAGACTATGGTATGCATTTTGGAGGATCTGCGTAGGGAGGGAAAAGACGGGAAAGTGAAATAAGCACTAGCAATAATAAATGTAGCTCATGTTAAATAATGATGGACGGTGGTTTGGAAACAAACAATTTCTTTCGTATTACATTTCATACCCTCCATTTTTCTTCATTGGCCCACTCCATCCATTTAACCTATAATTTATTTTTACCATGTTGCTACCTCACATATTGCCAAGTAATTTTATCATGTCTAACATTTTGAAACGCATTTATCAGGATATTTTATATTTTATGTCTAACAAGAGCTATATAATATGTATATTCTCAGAGTATGTGCCGTTCCAAAAAATGATATCGGAAAACGAGTTAATGCTTCTGGCGGCAAAATGTGCTTTGCACGACCAAGAGGTTTACGTTCAGACTACGGCGCTCCAATGCTTAGCTGCAGCAACAATGATCGATAGAATCTGGCGCGACGTCACAAAAACGCACCCAGATTTGCACGTACGTATTATAGTTTATGTTAAGAAATATTCACGCCCGATTTCTGAAACATGTTGAAATCGATTGATTCCGATCATCGTAGAAATAAATTAAACAGCTGTCCTGTCAAATGGCTTTTCGAATGTTATTTGAATGATGGTTAAAACCTCTGCATCTTTTTTTTTGATGTGAAAAATTGCCAAGCGAGCAGACGGTTCACCTGATATTAAGTGAATACCGCCGTCCATGGACATCTTCTACACCCGAGGGTTCCAGATGCACTGACAACCTTTTGAAAATTGGGCTCCCGCTACCTCATTCACCAAACGAAACGCGAAAGTACCTATTATGCTTCCACTTTACGCTCGTCTTCTGTGAGGTCGTGGTACTTACTCAGACGAGCCTGCCCATTCGTGCAACAGCCGAGGCTGCTGCGTGGCCCGTTATCATACACCATCGGGTAATTAAGGTACCTATGTATTATTTAAATTGTAAATTTGTTTAGTTAATGAAACAGCCTATAAACATTTTATAGCAGTTGGTAGTTGGCGTGTTTTTTATATTTCTATTGTGACTTCATTTGCGTTGGATGCTTTTCAATCCACGCAATTCTTAAATGACTTAAAAACAAAAGTGAACCCTATACAGTACGATGGAGGTCTGCTATTGGGCGCACATTACGGAAAAACCGCAGTACATATGCCAGTTAATTCTTATAAGTTTTATTTCTAACACACTTGGCTCTTTATATAAAAAAAATGTGGTATATTTATTGAAAGTAATTTTATTAAAGTTTTAAGAAACAAGTGTTTTTATAAGCACTACGTGTTCAGTGATGGGTGCTTTCATGCAGACGAAAAATGGGGCAAGCGTTGTAACAGTTAATAATGTAATATGCAAAACAGACGAAGTCACGGGTAGTGCTTAATAAATATTTGGTAACTATATTAAATACTATGCGGATTGATAGTTATCAACAGTGGTAAAAACGCATAGCAGTAAGATGGCACAAACCGATGTAAATGAAACATATTTATATTTTTCATTCAACTGGTAACCATAACCTGTGCCCTGCCCGACGTTTTTAAGATTCGAAACGACATTCTCCCTCATCGATATTGTGGACGCCTACTCGTAGTTGAAATTAATTTCAATAACCCCACTTATTTGATGATGATTAGATGAACCGCCACTTGTTTATATAAAAAAATGAGTTTTTCGAAATCCGTTAATAAATACTTCTCACCGCCTAGTTTTAAAATTGAAAGTATACCATTACACGCATAAACAATATCGTATGCTGTTGAATTCTTGTGGTGTGATCGTTTTAATACCAAAAATTAATGCTTTCAGGATCATCTAGTTAATTTGGCGAGGAAACATCCAGAAGAGCCAGTAAGAAGAGAAGCGGTGAATGTGTTAACAGAAATTTATATAAACCAAAACGTTACGATTGATTATAGGAATAACATGTTTAGGGTTATGGCGGGCGTTGTGTTAAAAGATTTGCATTGGGAAGTGCAAATTGCTGCGCTGAATTTCTGGAAGCAAGCAATAGTTCAACAAAGTCTATACCGTGGCATGATTGACGGTAAATTTCCATGCGCAACGTTTTCAAAGGAGAAGAGGAAGATCATAATTTTTAACGATATCGAAATAAAGAAGCAACTGAACAACATAATGAACGATCTATCAAGTATAGGTTGCTTGAATGTTTTAGACCAATGCTTAAATGGGGTAGAAAACGTCGCTGTAATGGAAGTGGCTTATAAAATCGTCACAGACTTGAAGTTAGTATTAGATCATTATAACTTTAAAGCAATAAAAAGTTCAACATCCTCGAACAATTTATGTAGTCATGAAACTCGACATTTACAAGTAGAAATGGATGTAACTGTCCATTCGGAGAATCTTTTTAGGTCAAATGAAGAAATTATGGATATGCGTGATGTCGTCGTAGAGCAAATAATAAACACGCCACAAAAAGATCTCATACTGGAAATTCTTAACCGAAGTCCAGAACTTCAAGAAGAAGTATCAGAAATAGAGGATTGTACGACTAAATATATAGAGCCATACGAATTTTTAGAAACATTTAATTCAACCGACTACGAAACATTGATAAAAGAAAAAAAGAGTTGTATTTCCGGTCACAAAAACTTAGACGACCTAATAGACGAATTATTGAGAATAGGAAATTATGAGGGACACAATGATATAGATATGTGCGATTTTTAGGGTTTTATAGATATGTTTATTCACCAACAAACCTATCAACAGTGTTTCTTAAATTGAAACATTATGTTATGGCATTGAGCTTTGATGCGCTTATACGTAACACTTCATGTTAAATCTTGTGTGTATGCCACTGAACTCCTCCTAAAGGGCTGGACCGATTTTAATGAAATTTTGTGTGTGTTTTCAGGTCGATTCGAGAATGGTTTAGATTGACAATTCGCTCATTTTTTTATTTTATTTTTTATAAGTTGTTTTCGAATGTCAGTCGTATTCACAGGAATACTTTTGTGGGGTCCGCTAGTCTAGTATACTCTTTTCCACTTTAATGCTGTTTCATGTTCGTCGTCAAACAAATAATAATACACACTCTTTTTTTTAAAGCATTGTCTTAATTTTAATTTGCCCTCATTTTAAAATTATCCTGTGTTGTAAGTACGTATGTTTTACGGACATAATTTAACGCAGACAAACACCCAGATGCGAAAAAATTTTCTGTGGGTCACATAAATAGTTATTCCGTGTGGGAATCGAATCCATGACCCTTGCCGCCGAAACCAATACCTCGGCCACTGCGCCACAATCGTATCATTTCATTGCCTATATGTGCATTTTTTTAGCAAATTTGTCATTTCCACACATTCTTGTCTTAAATCTAATATTCAAACGAATGTTATGAAAAACTAGTTAATCGATTATGAGCTTGTGGCCATAATAACTCGATTTTAAAATCCATCAAAGTTTTCAAGCGAGTGACTGCAAAACTAGCGGCTTATTATTGGTTCGGATATGATAAGCGACCTTTCGATTTCAGTGGTCCCCAATACAACATCAGCCTATCGCCGCCCAGTGCTGAACGTAAGTTGTAAGTCAAAGTGCGCCAACTATCCCGATCCTGGGCAGCCCACATCCAGATGCTGCCCGTCACCTTTCATCATCTTTCCATCGTGTTACAGTCCGTCCCACAATACATTTTCCAAATCGTGGTGTCCACTTTAAAACGTTCTCCCCAGGTAGTAAAAACGTTAGCAATTGTTTTCACTGTCTATGGAACCGATCATCAAAAAATTATTATTTGTGAGTAAAACGTAACGTTTCTTTTTATCGGTCAAATGATAGGTCGAAATCAAATTCTCAAAATTAAACAAAATAGAACAATCAAATACTTTTAAATTTAATAAAACAATTAGGAAAAAACAAATTTGCAAAAAAAAAATTAATAAAAAATAATCTTTTCCACCGCCAACATAGGGGATCTTAGTCAGTACCCGTGTTGCAGCATGTCATTAACAATAAGAAGAAAGTAAGAAAACGTCAGTGATATTCATCATCTGTCAATGTCAATTGCTATGTAAAATGTAAAGTGTAAATATTTATGAAAGTATTTTTATTAGGCTGTTGTATTGTATCTAGTATTACTGTGTAAATTTATGTATACTGTAGACAGATTTATGTTTTATCATGTTGTAGCTGATAATTCTAATACGAATAAAATTTTTAGTTGGTGATGGTAAGTTATTATTTTATATCTTTGAGTGTAATAAATTGTATTAATTTTTTTTTAGTGCCTATCACAGTTTTACTTTTGTGTAACGCTTTACGCTAACGCATGATTTTTTTTATTGAATAGAACGTAAAGCTAACTCGTGTATGGTATCTGTATTTATAGTGTAATTTATTTTGTGAGATTTTTTCAATAATATCTTTGATATAAATGTTAAGTTCATAAGCCATACAGACAATACAGAATATATAATTGATATTTTAATTAAAAAAAATTTACTCTAATTCCTCTGGTCTTAGGCCATTTTTAGGAATGCTTTACTTTGTTTGAGTTCAAAGTCAAAATTTCATTATTCATTATTTGCTTATTTGAAGCTCTTATTGAATGTCAAAAAACTACCACCGGTTCACTAAACTAGCCCGATCAGAGAAGAACTGAAGTTTGCCAGTTCTTCTTATGGCCAAGTTATTTTTTTTTTTAATGTTACAAGTATATAAAATTATTTAAGTGTAAAATCAGCAGCAGCCAGGAGACTTGCAAGAGCAGGGTCATTTCCTCACATCCTTGTCCTAAATCTAATATTCAACATTAGTAGTCTGTGGGGTAGCTTTTACAATGTGAATTGGAATCCTTTTCATAATTATGTAAAACTAGGCTTAAAGTTTAATTCATGAACTGTAAAGTCAATAAAAACCAATTATATCCTCTGTAAATCAATGTATCAGGGGTTTCCGTTTAAAATTTTTCCTTATCTATATTCTTTAGAACATCAGTGTTCTACTTAACCTGAGTAAGTGCGTTATGTGCGTTATGTTATGGTATGTTTATTAAACTATAGAATATCTGATTCATATTACATACATACAAATAGCAATCGCTGAAGAGGGATGATCAGAATACTTTGATATTGCTTTAATGTTAGGAGAAGTATATTTTGTCTGCGTAATAAAGTGATTGTAAATCATTTTAATCTCAATATTTGAAATTTATTGTTACAATACACTAAGTGGCGACTATAGCAAACTATCCTCCCCCCCCCCCCATTATGATACAGGAGGTCTGTGGTCATCAGTGAACTTAAATGATGATGATGGCTTAAGGGCCTTCTACCAATTTTTCCCATTCATAAATTCTTCTAGTTTCTAAACATCCCGATGTTCATATTATTTAGATCCATAGATGGTGGCAGGGTTGGTACCCTGCCACCATCTATGGATATGCGCCAAGCATTGCTTCAAATGCTAAATAACAATGTAGAAAGAAGGCGTTAAGGTTTTCGTCGCTGTGGTAATCAGCCGTTTAGCTCAGTGGCTAGAGCGTCAGGCCGCGAATGCCGAAGACGTGGGTTCGATTCCCACAGCGGCGATAATCTTTTCGTACTTTGTAATGTTCAATCTTAAGTGCAGAGATTAGCACTATAAAAAACTTTAAAATTCACTGAAGTTATTTTAAAATTAAACATTTCTGTAAAAACTTGTAAAATGATCAAACGTGAATTTTGCCTTTGTAGCATTATGTTGATGTAAGAATCATAAAATATACAAACATGAGTATACTGAAATGGTTGTAATTGGTGCTTGTTGTAATTGAATATGATTGCAACATACCTCATAAAAATGATATTTTTAACAGGTCCGTCCAGGTTAGTACCATAATTTAACAGAAAGCGTTAAGTAGAAGTGTAACTCTTCTGTGTTTCATCTGGTGAGTGAGGTAGCCCGGGTGAGGTAGCACTTAATTAAAAGGTGGCAATGCATCTGCAACCCTACGGGTGTTGCAAATGTCCATGGGCGGCGGTTACCACTTAATATCAGATGAACCGCCTGCTTGTTTGCCACTTTGTCATATTTAAAAAAAATGCTTAAGAAGTATTTAAAATATGTGGAACAAAAAGACGTAAATATAATATACTGTAATAACTGCTGAGGTGGGAACCAGATTTAGAGGTGTGGAGGCCTCGGGGCAACAAAGGAGTGGAGCCCCTGGGCCCCAAAATATTTTCCATTGATTTATGTTACTATATAATGTAATCATGTTTGTACAAAGTACTGTAGGTAAGGGTAAAACGTGAAAAAAAAATGCGAGCCACGCAGTAGCCTAGGCTGTTGCACGAAAGTTCAGGTTCGTCCGGGTAAGTACCTCGACCACACAGAAGACCGGCGTAAAGTGGAAGTATAATTACTTTCGCATTTCGTCTGGTGAGTGAGGTGGCTGGAGCCCAATTTTCAAAAGGATGTCCAACGCATCTGCAACCCTCGGTTGTACCAGATGTCCATGGGCGGACTTAACATCAGGTGAACCGCCTGCTCGCTTGGAAACTTTTCACATAAAAAAAAAGTTGTTTAGTATTGTTTATTAGTCTGAATTTGAATTTTTTTTCCGAAGTTTCTATTGTGGCGGCCCTATTTTGTGAAGGCCCTGGGGTTGCCCCGGTTGCCCTCCCCTAAATCCGGCCCTGGCTGAGGCATACAAAATATAGGCGCATTATTCATATTTATCGGAGCATAGAATCTCTAGGGCTTTCCTGGATTAAATATAGACAGTACGTTGTTGGTATCGTTACAGCAGTATTTATGGGATTACCAAACTTCGACGATAAAACTATGTATGCGCGTTCATTTCTCTTTTAGTTCCGTTATCAACATACAGCCACACCATTCACCCAGTCTGTCATCATCATTACTATGAATGTACACTTGATGTACTATAATACAATTTTGAACAAAAAAAAACCGACTTCAAACAGGAAACTAAAAGCATTGTCAACATAATCTATAACATTTGAGGATTGCCCTCGCTTTCTCTGGGATGCCATCATCAGATCCGGGTTTCCGTATCATGGTACCACCCTTGGGATATCTCCTTTCCAACAAAAAAAGAATCATCAAAATGGGTTCATAAATGACGAAGTTATCCCCGAACCCACATAAAAAAATATACGGTCGAATTGAGAAATCTCCTTTTTAGAAGTCGGTTAAAAACAGAAATAACACAAAATAAAACGCGAACAGATCTAAATAGTTTTATTTTAAAATTATGTTAGTGAATAGTTGCGTAACTGACATATGCAGGGAATACAGTTTTAGTTTACATTAATCCTATTATGGTGCAATGCTCATAGCTGCGGATGTAGAATAATCCTGCATTGGACAGTTAACGAACGTTTGTAGGTTAATTATTAAAGCGGTAGGTCATTTCAATACGTCTAAATGAACAAACGGACAGAATATATATATAATTATTATGATTTTTTTTAACCGGCAAATGATGACTCCGCGGCGCAGTTGCCAAGGTATTGGCTTTGGCGTCGTGGGTTCGATCCCACACGGGACAACTTGTGCGGCCCACAGATAGTTGTTTCGCAACTGGGTGTTTGTCCTCGTGCAATTTATGTTTGTAAAACGACCTTACAACACATGATAATGTTATCCTAAAGTGAGGGTAATGTTTCAAAAAAAATATCTGTGATCTTGGTGTTTTTTAAATTAAACAATAAATGTATAAACAAATTTATTTTTAATATTAATGTGTGCTTGCTTAGCGCGCTAATGAATATACATTCTAAATCATACGTCAAAAATAAAAATTGTTAAAAATAGTCATTTCCAATCGTTATTTTTCTGGCACGTGACATATCATTTTATATTTTGAATTGTGATTTATGTATTTTAAAAAAAGTTATTTTGAATCGAAACGTTGAAAAAAATATATTTGCTTATAGCTTACAATATTTTCGAAATCACGGTGTCTAATGCAGACTTTACTTATATTACAGAGTTGTTGTCTTCTGTCTACATCGATGACGTATTAAAACAAATTTTCTTTAGGATATTTTTACGATATAGTACTTTAAAAATCATTCGATTCGTGTTCCGAAGGCTTTTTAAAAAGAACTTTTTTTTTTTTTGGTGAAAGGGGCAAATACGTACGAGGCTCACCTTATCACCACCGGAGAGCATGCAAGTTCCTTGCCGGCTCTAGTGAAATTGAGCCCAAGATCGGACACAGACTTCAGTAAGCGCCTAGTCAGCTTGAAATTAGTTTTTCGGTTAAGCGGTAGTATTTTAATTAGTCTGCTGTACTTCGAAAATAAGAGTAATTATTAAATTATAGTTAAGTTCTAATTGATGCGACTGGTTGGTGGTTGTTTAATCACTTTGTTTAGTTAAAGCCTTTATTAATGTAGACTAAGTTTGAGCGATTCAATTTAACGAACCAGAGCTTAAAGGCCCATTTACATGGTGCCAGTTTCTTGCCTGTTGTATACAATTAAATTGAAGCAATAAATGAGTTGCATGGTCTAAACAACAAATGGTCTAAACAATTATTGCGCGCAATTTATTGCATTCAATTATTGCTCTTGTATGTTCAAGAAAATGGCATCGTGTAAATGGGCCTTAATAGAAAAAGGTCATTCCATTTATAAATATGTTTTCGTAACGGAACTTTGACGTACTTGTAATGTTTCAGTTTTAAGAAATACGTACGTCAGAGCAAAAAAACTGCTGAAATATCCATGATTTATTTTTAGGCTAGGCTTAAGAAATTTCTTCTTAAAGTTAAAAATATAATACTTGGTATCGAGAGTAATATAAATCTCGCGTATGATTAAACACATCCGAAATAATGATTTAGAAAACCGTATATATCAAATTCTTCATAATCTGATTGAATTCTTAAAGGCTAACACTTTTGATTTCGATACTCATTACAAGTTTTTAAAAAACTAAGTACTTAGAATCTTCAAAAACTTGTAATTTTGGCTTATACGGGGAGAGTGGAGTCTAAAATAATGGATAAAATAAAATGCGGTCTCATATAAGTCGTTTAATTCTCTGAGATTGTGCGAAATGATTTCAATAACATAATTGTTCGCGTGGCCTCATTAGCCTTTATATGAGAGTATGCAGTATTGCAGGTAGGTGTATAGTGTGAATTGTTGTGTTTTGTTAACTTCGCGAGGGTTCGTGTATTGGTGCGTATGTGGTGGATTTTTGGTTCTCACT